TATCTAGCTTAGGTGGTATCTCCTAAACCTTCCTTATGAAAGGTGTAGGGATCAAGTCCCGTCTGAGGGACATTAGATCAAAGGGTATAAGGTAGGGGGAGGGCTACCTCAATTGTGTAAACTATAAGTCGTTTAATGGAAATAGAATGAAATCAACCCTGTATTTTGATGGTCAATAGCTTGATTATTGTGGAATGTGGTTGCAGCAATTCAAGCCCGGGTATGCCGCATCACCTATGTTCCATTATGGTGGTGTTCCAACGAACTTCAGGTATCTCTTTTACCATGTTTTCTAACTGATATTTTCTAATTCATTACAGCATCATTTTTTTTTTTTGTCATTTGGTTGTTTAAAAAAAACAATGCCCATATGGTGTGTGTCTCAGGGGAAATTTGGAGATTCCCAGAAGGGACCTGCATAATTTTCAGTTTACAGCGACAGTGGCTGATCCCAATTTTCTGGATCATGAATTTGATGACTATACAGTTCGCACTTCCAGAAGCCTGATGTGCTGCCGCATAGTTGCTACAATTGTACTCTCTCTCACATTCACACACACACACACACACACATTTTGAAGATACAAGTAATTCTATATGGCATATGGTTAGATTTTGAAGACACAAAGTCTATATGGCATATGGTTGAAAGGCTAAGAATTTAAGTGTGTTAAAATTTTAATGGGTGCAATGGTACTCAAAATACGTTATCAAACACTAAATTAATTGGATAAGCACTTAAACCGTTCAGAATTAAGTATTGAATTAGGTTATCAAGCAGCATGAGTTGTTTTTTGGTTATGATGACCAAGGAGGTTCTTAAAACGACTGCAGAAGCATCAAAACTGCTCTGGCAACAGTGTCGTTTCACTCACTTCAATTCAGTGTACTTACAGTGAAACAAAGGAGATCTGGTATCCCGGAAGGTATAAAAAATGTCTTTGAATCCCAAATCCTTGCTCAACCTAGGCCCTCACAGTAGTTCCTGTATTACTGTAACTGAGATGGAAACAATTTTTCAGTTGGAAACGAAATTATCAGAGTGTTTTGTACGTGACATAGAATTCTCCATGTTCATACTATATGTGGCATTGTGTTTAGAATTTCCGGAAATCATGCCTCTGTTTTTTAGTGATTTATATATTTGCAGTTTACGGTTCTTCTGTTGTTGCGCTATACACTACCAATCATTATTTATGGAGCTGGAGAATACTCAATGAAATTGTTCATGGTGAGATGGTTAATTTACTTTCGTTTTATATAGAAAATGATGATGCATTTTCAGCATAATGTTTGTTATAGGATATATATTTGATTCATTTTTGCAGTTACTGGTGTTGCAGTTACTGGTGTTAAGAACTATCGGAATTCTTTTGCCAATCTGTATCATGGTTAAAATATTTACCAGTATCCAACGTCGCCGACATCAACAGGTCAGTCTCAGTGATCTCTCAACTTTGGTTCAGTGAATTTTCAAATTTATTAGTTTAATTCAGTGCCAAACTCTATGGTATTACTGGTCCTAAACCTTTATCCCGTACATACAAACGGATGGACAATATGAAAATTCTCTTTTTCCCACTCTTTTTCTATCATAAGTTGCATCTCCTATTAGGTCAACACTTTGTCTTTTACAAATCAATTTCCTTACCTCTCGTATCGATACCATCTAAGTTTACTTTCTCTTTTTTTCTCGCTAATACGCACCACACTTAATTTCTTCCTTTAATCAATTTTTTTTTTTTTTTTTTTTTTTTAAATCTCATATTTTCTAGTTTTTCCTACCATTCATGTTAAAATTGCATTTCTACCACATGAATGCATTGTTCTTGTTTCTATTGCATTTCTACGACGACATGGATGCATTGTTCTAGTTTCTTTTTTTAACGTCCAACATTCCGATTCATATCAAAATACCCGGTCCAATGACTGTTCTATATACTTTCCCTTTTAACTTATTTAGCTTACAACACTTTGTCCAACCTATTCCATTCTACTACCTACATCACTGTCAATCTCTTTGATATTGGTTCTAAATGAGGCATAAAAACCCATAAATTCTCAATTTATTGCAACCAAAAATTGTTTTTCGCAACGGATTTAATTGGTTTTCGTTTTTCTCTGCACTAGGATCCTCATAGCTTCTCCATTGCTACTGGATCAGATGAAGAAAATGAATTGACCGAGTCAGAGTCGCAGCCTCAGCCACATCTCATTCACGTGCAGTAATGGCATCAAGTACTGCATGTATGAGGGGAAACAACCATGGTCTACAAATTTATGTTTGGTACCAACCACCAAAGGAAGTCTCGTGATATCATATAAATGTTCATATGGCCCAGGTGGTGTCACACTGACTTTGCTCTGCATCGTCCTTGGATCTCATTAACAAGCAATCTAGTGAAATGTAGAGTTACAAAAAGGTAACTGCTTTGAAGAAACAGTTCAATAAAAGCCGATAAAATGTTCGGGAAAAAAGATTGGTCAAAGCTAGCAAACAGCATGATTGATCTGAAAATACAAGGAGTTGGGAGAACATGAAAATGTAAATACATATATTTCACTTGAAGCTTTTACCTTCTCTCTCTTTGCTTGCATGTTTTGGCAGAAAAAGATCAGATGGATTTCATAACCTTATGAAGAAGCATCGATTGGACAAAAGAGCATTTGATCATTGATCAGTTTGTTGCAGAAGTTCCATTAACAGTCTAGTCAAGAATTAACATCTAACTAAAGATCCGTGTCAAAACCGTAGATGATGAAATATGGGTGGTGCACAAAAAAACTAACCACTAAATTGAACACGACCAAATCAATCTGCCTAAGACGTGACACAGAGCTATGATGATGATACAAAATTAGCAAAACAAGATTGATCAATCAATCTACTCTAAATTAACATCCGAGCCCAGGATCAGTGTCAAACTGGAAGATGAGCAAAGCCCCGAGATAAACAGGACCAATCAATCAATTTTACTCTGAGATGTGGACACAGATGATGGATGATACAAGAATTAACATCATCTATCTAAAGATGTGTCAAACTGGTAGCTAATGAAAAGACATGTCTATTGCGAAGGCCAAAGGCGCTATTATTTCAGTTAATTCCCTACGTAGAACTGTACTCATATGTGTCTACTGGACTAAGATTTCAGGTCAAGGCACTTGAGTAATCACTCTCCTCCAACCCTCCAGAATAAAGTTCTCCATTTCAAAGATATAACATAGAGAAAACAGTATTAGATCAATACCCTTCTAGCAACAGATATTAGGACATATCAAGTTGTGTTTTGACACCATTTCGAAAAATAGATAGTCCAACAACATACTAGGACTTGATATAATGCATAAAGATGACAATGCGAGGAATGAGAAAGAAAAAAATAATCAAACAAACATGGATAAACACGTACGCTTTATGGAAATTTAATGCTCAACTCGGGCAAACCAAAAACAGGAAGGCAACAAATTAAAGACTACAACAAAGATTCAATACAAACAGTAGTTCTACATACCGCAAAATAGTAGAGTTACCACACAATTACTAGTTCGAGGCATATTATGTTATCTTAAATCAACGACCAATGGACCAGCTCTTAAGAGGTAGTACTAGACGAACAAAGACATAAATAGGACACAGGCAAACAACAACACAGAATTTCAAGAGGTACCAAATGTTTTTATTCCTCCTCGGATTCAGACTCAGCGCTCTGGAGCCAATCAATGAAAGGTCTTGCATTCTTCCAGATCAAAGAGTCCTTGTTGCCTCCTGCCAGTCCCTCCTGATACCATTGTACCATATACCGTTCCTCCAACACGTCAGCATCGTATAGTGCTTTCAAAACCAGAGCTACTTCTTTCAATGCAGCTGAGGTAGACTTTGTAGAGAAAGCTTCAATTGCTCTAAGAATAAGTAACTGAGATGCCTCATTTTGAGCAACAGCAGCAGCAAGATAACTTCTCTTCTTGGCCACCTCTTTTGCAAACCCTTTTTCAACACCATCAAAGAGTGCCTCAAATAAGGCAGTCATTATTTCCTGAGCAGAGCCAGAAAGCGATTCCAGAATGGATGGAAATTGCTTTGCAGTAATCCCTTTCTTCAAATTTGCTTTCACCTCTTCCACAAGCCTGTCATGGGTTGAGTTCCAGTTCTCGATCTTGGGATTCTCCTCAGGTGGCAATGGAACACTTTTTAGACTGTCAATAGCTTTATTGGCTACCTTCAACTTCTTTGGGTCATCCGTGGAGAGCATAACCATGTCAGCAGTCACATCGTTCAATTGTTCTTGAATGCGTTGCCGAGCAGCCTCCAACGATGTGTCAGCATGCCACTGAATACCATCATCATCATCTTCCTCATCAGCCTCTTCCTTCTCATCGACCTGGCTTAAGGTTGGTGAAGTTCGGTCCTCATCGGAGCCACTAGCTTTCTTTTTGGTAGAGCTGGCTTTTGTATGCACATCCTTTGCAACGGAAGAACCCTTCTTCTTCACCTCTTTCTTTGGCTTCTTCTGCTCCATATCGGCTGCCTCACCTTCCTTTAGTCGCTCCTTCTCAGCCCTCCTCATTGCCTTTTTCTCTTTCGATCCCTTCTTTGATTCAGGTGGGTTCTTCAGAATGAAAGTCGTTAGTTTGTCCCTCATATCCACATCAGAAACAAAACCACAGGCGGCACATTTGAGTTGGATCATCTGATTTTTTGTAATTAAGATATCGGTTTCAGGGTTTCCACAGCCATAACACTGGACATATTTCTTAATGAAGTTCTCAAGAAGACCAGCAAGTTTGGCAGTATCGTGGGCCCCATTAACAAGCGAAACTCCAGTTTTCTCGTCAAACTTAGATTGAGCTCCAAGCTCACAACCAAAATACTTCGTAGTATAAGAAGGTGGCCTTGCCAAAGCCTTTGCAATATCAACCATGTTTACAATATTCGTCTTGATGCCATTTCCTCTGCCCTCTATCTTGGTAATCATCTTGGGCATCTTATACCTGTAGAAGGCATCATCACTGTTGCTGGCACCTATGTTCTGTAAAGCCATCTTTGCTTCAGTTCAATAAACCCTTAGAAATAAAATGCTAGGATTTCAATATATAGGATTCTAGGATGTGAAAAGACTGATTCTCTATGGTGAGTGAAGGTTGCGCCCAGCTGCAACCACAAAACTCCGTGTATTTCTGAAATGACCCGAGATGCATACAGTCAACTCTTTCTGACGGAGTTCCGTTCTTTTTTCTTGATGTAGGAAAATACTCTCCAAGCAACCCAATCGATCCCAAACAGAGAATGGCCTGTTTGGACATAAAAGACACTTCGATGTTGATGCACTTCCCCTTGGATGTCCACAGAGAGCAGATTAACCAGCAAGTTCCCTAAATAAAAAAGGGTGAGAATCAGGATTTACAAGCATTTAAAGGTAAAAAATGCCAAGATTACTAATGTATTATAACCATAGTGGGATAAACACTGATGGAGAATGAGCAGACAATCAGATATCCAGAATCTAATAATATCGCAAACTGCATTTCTTCAACGAACCTAACCACACAACAGAACATGACATCATCAGCAATTTCTTTTCATGTGAAATGAACAATGCATCACAAGAAGTTCCACCTTGTACGAATTAAATTAATCACAATGATATCCTTCCAGCACAAGATGAACAAGTAAATTCCACTAATAATATACTAAATCAATATGGAACATATTAACACCATTCTGCAAACTAGGACAATATATGCAATTGTCAACAAAAGTCAAAGTGACAAAAATATCAAACTTAAGCACTTAATTATGCTGAATAATTCCCAGATTAATTCACAACATTTATAGACTTAACAACCCACATAATTGAAGTAAAGGCAAATAATCTAGAGGACAAAGAATAGATTGAATAGATGAATCAATAAAGAAATGTCTTCCACGCAAGGAAATATCAAATAGCACAGATTTTCAGACCACAGATTCTTCCTCAACAGTGATAATGACTACATAGATAATAGAATTTAATCATTAAAACAAGATACACATAATGTAGTAAATCAGAGCATCCCATTGCATCACTCACTTCACTAAACCACAAAAGGTGTGGAAACATCCAGGCAGAAGCATGAAACTCAAATAGCATATCCGTACTCCATGGTAAACCCAAAAGTTAATAAGGATACAATAATGTTGGACAAGAGTGAAGACCTCCGAACGTTAATTTGTGAACCAAATTCCTTAAATTGGCCCATAATAATGAACTATGTGGCATTGGAATTTGGACGGAAGATGGTCTAAGCTATGTGGCAAGCATTGTGGGGAATCCTTTGATTCTTGATGAGCACACTAGATTGAAAACTAGACTTTCATATGCTATATATGCTAGTGTGTGCTTTGACTAGACTTTCATATGCTAGGATGCGCATTGCGAGGGAATCCTTTGTTTCTAGATAGAAGTGGAAGCCGCTAAGGAAATTCCGAACTATTTCCCTATTGATCTCAATTCTCAACTATGGTGAAGCCTTGACATAAGGGTAGAGACTCCTTGGAAGCCTCTACGGTGCATAAAATGCAAAGCTTTTGGTCATTGTACCAATTCATGTCTTTCTCATCCTAAAGTCTTCCAAACTAAGCAAGTTTGGAAAGTGACGGATATGAAAGCACCACAACCGCCTAAGCTCAACGATACATGGGAAGAAGTTTAGGAGAAAAAAGGAAAAGCGGTTGTGTCTCCTCCTTTGACTCACTTTCATCTTTTAAGTTGTCTTCTCTCATAGAGACAGATGGTAATGAGTAATGGCTTGGAAAAGCCTAAAAAATGGATTGATGGTCATTCGGTTTTCCTCATGAGACAATTGAAAAAGAGCTCCAGGAGCAACCTCAAGCTTGGGATACTCCCCAAAAAGGACTTCTCAACCTCCTTGTGGCTCTATTAAGAATTCGGTTAAAGATAACATTCAAAAACCAATGTTGGGATGTAAAAATTTTCTTTTGCTCCCCTAGTCTCTTGGAGAGAAGTGCTATATATATGATGCTAGGTTTTTTTGTTCTCTGGCTTTAGAAATTTCTTTAGCCTAGAGTGTTTTTTTTTATTATATTGTATATCCATTACTTTTTTTGGTAATACAATTTTCACTTACTAACCAAAAAAAAAAAACTTAAGATCTAAATGAAAAAAAAAATGATATATATATATATAACCAATGGTAACTAGCATAGATGGTATGAGCTCGGGCAAAATATAGTGGGGGTGTGTTTGCTTGTTTAAACTTCCAAAACAAACAAACAAATAAATATAAATCAAATATTGAGAGTCAGCCTCAGCTAAAATTGATTCCAATCTTTCAATACTTCAATCACAAGCTTTCCAGACGCCAATTCTCCACAAGTACCACACACATAGTTATGGCAATTTAAAATTTCATCGATAGCTTAATATTAAAATATATATATATATATATATCCACACACACACGCAACTACACATGCATAGCAGAAAGAAACAAGATAAGTCAAAATAATAATAATAATGATTTTTTTTCCCTGGATAAAAGTTAACGATTTCCATCAACTAGCTTTTTTAGAGCAACCAGATACCAATTTCACTGAGCAACATAACTTATCATTTCTATAATCATTTCCTGAATATCAAGTAACATAGATATGATCCGTTATTACTGTTCTCGATTTTATGATCAAATTGCATATATACACACACATGAAGAGTATATACACAATCGAAAGAAACAACAAAAAAAAAAAAAATCAGTGGTGTACGAATGAAGTTTTACCGATCGAAAAAGCTCGAGCTTTCGTCTTCTTTAATGGAGCAAAGATGAGATTCTGTAGAGAGATAAAATAGAGAGAGACTTTCAGGGTTCAGCTGTAGAGATAGGAGGCGGCCAAGCGATTTCTTATACATATATGATTGGATCGTATGGACGAGATACTTCTGGGACTATTTTAATTTGATGATCTTACAGAAATCCTAACATAAGATTAATCTAAGCCGTTAATTTTGTTGACCGATGTCTTTATGGGATAAATCATTATCCAATTTTGTTGGGAGAAAAAAGTTGACATAAAATCATACTAACTCTGCATATAAATTTAATAAAATGATACCTTTAATATTAAATTAAAATTAATATAAATAATTCATTTGAAATAGTGTTGTTAAAAAAAAAGAAGAAGATTTTTTAGTGGCGAATCTATAAGAAAATGAATGTATCTTGAAACAATTTTCAAATTTTTTTTAATTATTTATTTTCTAAAAAATAAGAAGTGAGAGAAAATCTAAAATGAAAATTAGTTAAACTAAAACTAATTTTTTAAAAATTTATATTAAGAGGGATTTTTTTTTTCATTATAACATTACTTTAGTGGTGTGTAATTTAAAAAAAAAAAAAAAAATTAAGTTCAATTTTTTAAAAATAAAAAATGAATTATAACCTAAATCGAAAATATTTCTTATATTTATATTAAGGAACATTTTTGTCATTATAACATCATTTTGTAACAAATTTGATAGTTAGGGGCTTTATGTCAATTTTTTTCTTCAAATGATTTTTTTTTTTTTTTTTTTTTTTTTTTTTTTGTTGTCAAAGATTAAAAGTATAGGGGGAGGGGATTATGCAATTTGCCCTAAAAAATAAATAAATGAACAACAAGGCGTATTATACATGAGATTATGTTGTATTTTAATGAATATATCTTGGATAGGGGTGCACAAAGAATTGATCAAATCGGCCCAAATCAAATTGAACCGGTGCATTGGTTTTAGTTTCTCAACGATTCGGTTTGGGTTCTAAAAATGAAAAACTGTTGAATTTTGGTTCGGTTTAATTCAAAATCATTTGGGATTGAAACTAATTTCATTATATATATATTACAGTATATTATAATTATAATTTACAATTACACTTATAATTAGTCTATATATATATTACACTTTACAATTACAATTATATTATATTATTATGTTAATTTCTTATTTATTCCTATAATGTATATGTATATATAATTCGGAGAAGTAAACATATTTTCTCTTTAATTTTATCTAACGAGAATAGTAAAACTGAACTGAACTAGATTGGTCTTTCACTGTTTGATTTAGTTTCATGTCTTAATGAATTCGCTTTTAATTTTAATTTTAATTTTTTAAAAAATTGTTGGGATCGATTCGGTTTCGATTTAGCTAGAAATCGTATCGAACCGAACCGTATACACCTTTAATATTGAATACCCAATGCATACTATTTTTAATATCCTTAAAGTGAATGTCTTACAAGTAAATATGATTTTAAAAAAAAAAACAATTGCACCGACTCAAACTCCCTCATGTTTAAAAGATCTTGGTTCTTGTGAACTCATTCCATATCATAATGCAACGTAGCTGTATTATAAAATACAATACACATCCAATTTATAAAAGAATTTTGTCTAACATACTTATAATTAAAAAAATAATAAAAAAAATAAAATTTAGTTTAACATATTTATATAAAAAATATAAAGGAAAGTACAACAACATCCCCTGAGATTTGCCAAAAGGACACATAAATGAAACTTAGCCTATTTTGAGATAAATACACCTCCTCAAGTTTGATACAGTTACCAAAGACACCCCAATGGTAATGAATTGACATTTTTGACTTTTGACTTTTATATTGACCAATTTGAATGTTGAAATTACATTTTTAACCTATATATTCTGTATCTATATCTCAATATTCTGTATATACACATATATAATCAACGGAGAGGATGGCGCGTCCTTTCGCACGTCGATAAGAACTAGCCAACAGTTGTGGCCTGCTCCTCGCCAGCGCATGATTCTTGTACAGAGTTTCGATGAGTTCATAGTAGAGAGCTCTGCCGACGACCGTGGCCCACTCCTCGCCTACGCATGATCTTCTACAGAGCTCCGACTTTCCATGGCAGAAAGCTTTGCCGACGATCGTGGCCCGCTCCTCACCGGTCAGCCTAGCTTTACTTCCAATATATTCAATCCATGCTCTCTATGAAGCCATTGTTGTTGTCAAAGCTTCCTGTCATGTTGTCCTTGCCATCACCTATTCAGTCCGCGTCTCGTTGGGCAGTATTTTACCGGTTCAGTCCATGCTCTCCATTATGCATAAAAGGTTCCGACAAAGGGAGCTGACAAGGTGCGGCTCAATCTCAATCCCACCAGTATAGGTTGGTTGGAAAGATGGGTTTGATGATGTCAATCTCAATCTTAATCCCACCCCAATCAAACCTCTAAATCAATTGAAAATTTTGCTCCTTCTCTCACCAAACTCAACAACCCAGTTGTTCTTTGATTTCATCAATTGGGTTTTGTTTTAGGTACCAATTCAAGACCCCGACGCCCAACATCTATCGCCTGATCAATAACAGGACCTCTGAACTAATTCAAGACCGAACGGTCGGGTGTGGTGTTTCGGTTCATTGTCCTCGCTGTCGTTTTCTCCGTCGCAGATAGTACTGCCTCGACCTCTTTGATTGCTTCTCCGCCTGTTCCCCTAACCTCCGACACTCCTACTTCGGCTCCCTCCGGTATCGCCGGGCCTCTGTCGTTCTCTTTAGCTCCGAAAGAATCTCCGTCATCGACTCCCAATGGCGCTGCTCTGAATAGATTGACGGTTGGTGGATCTGTGGTTGGTGGTGACTGTTGTGTGGGTGTGTGTATATGTATATAAAGGTAATTTGGTTATTTAAGTATTTTGAAATTTTATAATTAAAATTAATAAAATAGTGAAGGGTAAAATGGACTTTTTACTTATTTTAAGACTCTGTTTGGATGACAAATTTAACAAGAGGAGTGTGATTGTCCAAAAATATCCAAACTTTTATCTACTTTTCTTTACCCAAACTTCAAGGTGTCCATGTACTTTACCTAAAAATTATAGGGCAAACTACAATGACCTCCCCTGAGGTTTGGACTAATTGCAACTAAATCTGAGGTTTTCCATTGTATTGCAGAGACACCCCATGTCAGATTTTGCAGTAAATTTACTTATCTACCCTCATTATTATATTATTAAAAAATCAAAATATCTAGAAATAACAAATGACCTTTTTACCCACCAACATTTACCCAATAAAAATATTTCTATTTTTCCTTTTATCTCACTATTCCTCTCCCTCTCCTCCATCCCAACTGACCATAACTGGTTCCATCGCCAATCCAAAGACCCACTTCCAAGTTCGCAACACATCACTGAGTACCACCCATCACCACCACCGTCTCCACCTCCTTGTAAACGCCGTAACAGTCCATAATTCTAATCTCTTATTCACGATTCGAGCCGGCAAGAAGGGCAATTTCGCGACAGCCTTGCATACGAACAACGAATTGAACAATTCAAACACGACAAACAGGACTAAGGCAACCACAACACCCTGACTTGAATTCGAAAAAAGAGATTGTGATTCGATTCCTTAAGAATGGTCTCGACGCGATCGATCTTCTTCGTTTTGGATATTTTAACGGTGAGTTTTGGTGGGTTTGAGTCTCTTCATGGCTCGAGCTTCTTGGAGGCTTTGTTGATGGAGGACTTGAGGGGTTTGTAAGAGGAAGTTCGGTAGATAAGAAACTACGACATGGCTTCGCAAACCACGGCGATGTAGAAGGTGATTCCGACGAGGGATACAGCGGCGCTTTGCGGGCGGAGATAGAGATGATTGTATACGTGGAGCTGGAAGCGGCAGCGACCTCGCTGTCCTTCGCCTCGTCGCTAAGCCCGCCGTCAACGAGGTTGTACGCCGCGATCATTGAACATGACTTTTTCCCTGACATCCCTAAGCTCGTGATTCTTATGTTGGTATAATGAAAAAAAAAAAAAAAAAAAAAAAAAAAGAAAAACAAATAAAAAAATTAGTCAAACAGCTTCAGTAATAGTGCAATCAGTGATGAGATTCTTTATACCGCCATACTTAGGTATCAGAAAACCAATATATATATGTATATACATATATATATATATATATAGTTATCAAAGATACAAAATAATTTATTCCTCGTGTACTGACTCAGTGCAAGAGAAGAAATACATGGTTTGATTAACCAATGTAATATATATAAATTATTGCCCACAAATACATGATTTGATTGGGACGTTACAAATTTTGCAGAAGGGGTGGTGGCAGTGAAGTGGTGAAGGTGGGCTAGAGAGAGACAATGGTGAGTATCTGGTCTAATGGTAGTTTGATCCTCTTAACATGAATTTTATTGTCATTTGATTATATTATTTACGTTATTGATGGGTATTTTAGTCACTTTAAATTATTTTTTTTTGACAAAAAATATTATTTTTTATACTGAGGGAGGTCATTGCAAAATGGAAAAAACTTTAGGGGGTCACATTATAACAAAATAACAAACTTTAAATTTAGTTACAATTATTTGCCCAAAATTATAACACTCATGTAATATATTATACTACCAAAAAGCTAGGATAATCCAAATTATACTGTAACACTCATTCAACATATTATTATGTTCGGCACACAACCAAAATGATACAGGATCCTGATGTGACACGTTATTGTTGACCGAGCATTTTAATGACGTGGTTCGATTTTAATTATTACTCCGTTAAATACAATTAACTTAACAAAAACAAAAACTGAATAAAAAAAGCAAAAAAAAAAAAAAAAACATACAGATTGCAGGAAAACACGTTACAGAGGAATCAGGCGTCACCTCGTGATCTCGACTTCGGCCACCTCTCTCTGGTAACGGAGTGACCTCGTGATTTTGTCTTATCGGTAAATCTATTAACCTTTTTTTCTCTCTCTTGTTTCTCTCTCTACATTGCCTTGTGATCCATCTGGTTTTATCTGTTTGAATCTTCCAATCGTCTTTGCTATCAGCATTATCTCTCTGTGTATGTAATTATGTCCTTTATCTATTTAGATCTCTTACCATCTTATCTCTATCATTTTGAAACAATTCAAGTTGTGGTACAGATCTTCAGTTGATTCTGAATTACCTCTTCAATGATTTTGCTGTCAAATCTTCTCTTAAGCTGTGCTTTTTCGACATCTAGTGCAATTTCATTATAAATTTGTTAATTTGATTCGAGATTTTAATTTTATTACTAAATTATGAGTAATTTTATGAACATGGTGCTCATTATTCGTGTAGAATATTGGAAATGTAGTTAATATACATATTGTTGAATCTTATGTTGAATGTTGTTCTGCATTGTGAAAATTCACTGCCTAGGCTAAGTTGTATTATTAGGATGAGTTGTGGATATTTCTTATTTTTTTCATGATCCAAAACTGAAGATATAAAAAAAAAAAAAAAAGAAAAAAAGAAGAAGAAAAGATTAACCTGGGTATCCGGCCCGACTAATCCCCAATGACCCAGGAAGGGTGCATTCCACCCCGGGCCGGGTAAGTTGCAGAGTATGGCCGCAGAGGCATAGCCCTAAGGAATAGTTTGCACTTAGTGGGAGTCGAACCTCATACCTTATACGTCATGAGGCACCAGGGCCAAATGACCTTGCCAGTGTGCCAAACCCTTGGGGTTAGATTCTGAAAATTTACTTCTTCTGATTCCTGCATTTTTCCTAATCAGATGGGATTAAGCAAAATTATGAATCTATTGGTAGAAAAAAAATTAGTAAAAGTGGCTGTAAAGGGTTGCTAATGAAAAGAATGCTCACATAGGATATATATGTGTGTGTAAAGGACTGAAATCCAAGAAAATGTTTCAGAGGATTGAAATGGAATTCTTTGAGCTTTGAAATACTTCTTTTATGGTATTCCTGTGTATTTTTGAGTGGAGTGTAATGGTGATTCATATATCCTTTTGTATATATAGTTGACTTGTACGGCCATAGTGTAGGATGGTAGACCCTCATTTAAATATGTTTTCAAAGATAATCAAAATCCTTATTTATTTATTTATTTATTTTAATCAATAGAAATACAAATCACTCTGTTAGGGTGGTAGGATGAGAACCATAAATTAGAATGCCTTTTCTAAAGTAAAAAAAAAAAAAAAGATCTTGTTTCTTCCTAAATGTAGCTGATCAAACTAATTGGTAATCAATGATGCCTTGAGTGACATGTTTGCGGGAATTAATGTCATGTGCTGTTGCAGCTGTTCGCTATTATGTCAGACGTGGAGGATGTGAAAGACCAACAGGAGGGCTCTGAAAAATGCATGCCATCATCTCAAGAGGAGGTTGATTACATGTTCTGGTTTTCTATACATGCATAGTTTCCTTAAAAAACTCATGTTTTTAATGCTGGATAACCTTATTATTTCTTGGCTTCTTAATGTTGCAGTATTTTCTCAGGTCTTTAATGTTTAATTTTCTTTATGTAGGAGGAAGCTATTAGGAAGAAATATGGCGGGATTAAACCCAAGAAACAACCACTCATTTCTAAGGTAATATATATATAAAGTTGATTTTAGTTATGTTATTTTGTCATTGAAATTCATGGAAGAGATGCTAGTTTGTGATTTTCCCCATTCAAATTTTCACTGTTGACGTTAGGACAATGAACGTGCATTTTTTGATTCTGCTGATTGGGCTCTGGGAAAGGTACTGCTTTGTCTGTAGCTCCCCTATACTGCTTCGTCTGTCGCTCCACTATTGTGTTTGTGCTTAATACTTCCAATAGTAGAGTACCTTCCTGCATCTTGTTCATTACCTAATATCTTTCAATGCATTTGGACGATTATAGCATGGTGGGGAGAAGCCCAAAGGACCACTTGAAGCACTTCGGCCTAAATTGCAGGTGCGAATTTAATAATTTATTTCTTTGTTATTTGATGTTTTAGTTATGTTTTATGCTGTTTGCCAGAATTGTTATCACTTGCATTAATAATTTAATACACTGCACATACTTCTATTACTGTCTGCTAGATCTCATAATGGATTTTGTTCGACAAGTCTTAGTGATGAACTAACATTATCTGTTCAATAACTTCATCCTAATGCAAATTCTAGTATTTGTTACTTTCCTGAGAAAATTGTCATCGGTGAAGGGGCAATTGATTCTAAATGTGACAAAAAAAAGAACAATGGCACGTCAATCGTGTTAAAAGACAATCAGTGCAGGATGTTGATTCTTAGCGGCGTAAGTGGCAATTGATTCTTAATGCTGCAAAAATGGAAGATCCATCATGTATAAAGAGAATCAATGCGGATTGATTGGATTCTTAGTGGCGTTAGTCGGACCAACAATGGGCTTGAGATTCAATTATACTGGACACCAAGGAACTGGAGATGCCCATGCATAGTGGATGTTTGACAGTAAAAGCTGAATCAATACAATGATGCATAAAGATTAGTAATGTCAATAAAGTATCTAACTAAAACCCATAATCTAGACACAATAAAAATAAGTAATAAATGTAGGGAAAATGAAAACATTTAATATTGGTTTTGGATTAGAGTATGTGTTAGGCTGTTACACTCTTGGTGCAACGTGATTCCTATACTCGAAGAAATTGGTTTGCTATTTGTATGTAAGGACGACGATAAAGAGAGATGATTATGATTTTGGTAACTAAAAAGTGATTATAGAAAATGAGTTGTGTGGTGAAAGAAAAGGTTAAATATTAGACTGAGTCTGGGCATGTGTGTGCGCGCGAGAGAGAGGTACAATCTTCACCTTCTCTAACTGCATCCCTCCTCTTAGGACTCCACATATAGTGAAATAATGATATTTAAATTTTGTTCGAAGACTCAAAATTTGTATCGTAATTTAAAATGAAAGGAAGAATATAGAAACTTTGTATAAACAGCTAGTTGTTATATTATGACGGGAATTTAAAAAGAGGAGAGCACCAAGACAGCATTCTCTTGTTATAATACTGTAGATTGCGTAGCGTTTCAGGCTGAGCTTATAGAAAAACTAACTATAATTGTATCCAATCTAGCCCATAATGTGTGGATTTGACCCGACATTAACTAGTTTCAGTTGATTACTCGATTAGTCTAGTCATTGGCCAAGAATTGTGGCTTATCTGATATGCATGTGGTATGCAAACTATCTTCTTGTATATTAGCTACAAGGTTGATGATAGTGCTTGGCAAATTTGTAAGAAGGCAAGCAGGGGTTTTATGGAGAGGAAAGGGGCTCAACCCAGAAAATGTTTCCGAATTAACTGTTAGAAGACAAAGTTTGTGGTCTAACTATTTTAAAAGGCTGATAAGTTTGGCGGTTCATTCAAATTTACAAACTTTGACAAATATAACTTTATGTATCCTTCTTGCCCTAAGAGCAGAGAAAGGTAGATGAAGGAAAAATCTCACTCCAGAAGATATATTTTTTTGGAGGGTCAGAGAATGTAAAGTTGAAGAGTTCTTGTGTTGGTTAATGTAAATTGTAAATGTCACTGAAGAAATTAGTTGCTCTAACTTGATGGTTAATTGAATATTAAGTGATTTCTTTTTAGACATACTGTAATTTTCTTCTTTTAACTTTTCAACTGCTGGTGCAAGAAGTTGCAAATCCTATAGGGAAGGATTGGAAGCGACTCATTTATCATCTAGCTGTTGTGAAGTGTTATTTTACATAGATGCTTAAAATTGTGTGCCATCACACAAGTAAGCCACATGCTCTGACATGCCTAACGGAGACATTCTTGACAAAGAAAGCTACAGAGACATTTCTAGTTTACTAGAATTTCCCGCGGCGGTATCTTTTCATCCTCCCATTTGTGTCGAGTTGGGTGCATGTCTTTTTATATATTAAAAGAGAAGATTTTATGAAAAGATTGCAGTTTCGTGAAAACTAGTTTTCCTTGTGCTTGCAAGTTATGCTAACATGGATTTAGGTATGTGTGTCGGGTGGGTATGTATCCAATCATTAAACATATCAAATCCCAATATAGGACATAGGGACACTGATAAATTATATTATTTATTATTTTAACATCATTCTCAATATAGACATTTAACTCGTTTTGAAGCAATAATATACTAAAATTAAACTATTGGATAGGTTTTTAAGGTTCATGTCAAACCTAAAGTGTCGAACACATATCTCATACTCATGTCAAAGTATTGTGTGTTCGGTACTTCACCTAATTTTGAAGAGTCCAACACAACTCGCACATCCATCATTCAATCTCCAACACTTCTTTCAATAATCACATGTCAGATTTGACCTATGAATTGTAGATGCAACATAGCGGTCCTTAAATACTTTCTGCACTATCTTAAAACAGAAAAGAGGCTAACTTATGGTGATTAGTTCATTGATTTTTTTTTTAAAATAGGGAAACCTTTCCCATACCCCCACCCTACCCCAATCTCAAACTTGTTTGGCCCGGTCCCTTTCAGTTCGTGCTGGAAATATGTTTGGCAGTAGAAAATCTTACCAAGTTCTTTTTGTCGTGGATAAAGTCAAACTAACTGTACCTGCTTCATCCTCTCCATAAGACATGATTTTGTCTCTCTCCATCTGGATTGCTTCACAAGATTCACATCAATATGTTTATGGTTATATAATCAGTATGCATTTTAACACTTATATTTCACACATTCATTACGTGTGTCTTGCTTATGACAATTTTCTCTCTCTTTGCTTTTACTGCTCTCTTGACTAGCCAACACAACAACAGACACTATACCGGAAATCTCCTTGTGCACCATCAGATGGTGAAGGTATACGCACGATGAACATAACTCCCTTGAATTTGTTTTTGACTTGCCGTAGTTACAGCTAATGTTAAATCCAGTTCCTTCTTAGGCTTATTTCCTCATTGTTTTGTTCTCTTTGAGTAGATGGAGGAAATGTTTCGTCAGAGGATGCAACTGCAAATGAATGAGAGGCTGCTGTTGATCTTGTGAGGACTGTCAATTTTGAAGCTAATATATCTAGATAGAGATGAGCAATTTTCTGTTGGTTCAATAAAATTGGCGATGATGCTTCCATATTTGCTAAAAGAGAAATAAAAACACCTACTATCTTTAGTTTAGATTTGCCATTTGTAAAACTATAAATTTTAAAGTTGATGTCCTTACCCCCCCACCCACCCCCTAATTATATAATTTTGGTTAAAGAAGATCATATTGTGGATACTTTTCAGTTAAAGATTACAACAATGCCTTCTTATTTACACTATGTTTGGAATGCAGGAGTTGGAGAGGAGAGAAAATAAAAGGACGAAAAGCTTATTTCTTGTTAGCTTTAAAATAAGGGGAAAAGAGGGGAAGTAGAGAGGGAGGAGGGAGAGTTTAATCCTTGAACTGCTTTAACTATTCTCTCAAAATTCAGAAAAATTGAAAGGAATGAATAAAAGCATTGGTCGAGATATAGTCATTCCTCCTCCAATAGAAAGATTGTGTGCCTTTGGATGGGATGATTTAGAGGGTTAGGGAAAGAAAAGAAAAGAAAGGATAGAGATTATATATGTTCGGGGTTTAAAATAAGAGAAAAGAGTTTCATAATTTCAAAAGTGCCCTCAACAATTACAAAGAGAAATTTATTCTTCCACTTATATCCCTTTTATTTAAAAGGATATGATAGTAATTTGGTTGTTATCATTCTTTTTCTTATTTCCCTCTATCATATCCAAAAAAAAAAATATTATCACTTCATTTCGTAACTAATATTATTATTTCATTTTTTTTCTCTCTTCTGTATCCAAACAAAGTCAATGTTTTTGGAGTACTAATATATAGTGGATGTATATGAGTTTGCTTGAATTTTTGGACAAAAAAAGTAAAGAATAAAATAAATAGTGATTATCTATTTTATCGCTGTTTCATTTTTTTTTTTTTTTTTGGTAAATACTCCTGTTTTTTTTTGGGTGTCTTTTGATTTTAGAACCACATCACATGGTCCATGTATGCCATGTGGCATCCATATTAGGAGTCATTTGTGATGTGACACAATGTTATCATGTTAGTGCCCTCCCCACTAAGCCATGTGACACAATTTAATATCTCCAATATGTACAAGTTTTAGTTCCAAATTTTACTATCATTTTTAATGTTCAAGTTGTGCCAAATGTACTAGGCAATTGTGCAGTCAACATGAACTCTCCTTTGCTTGGCTTGTACAATACTTCTCTAGAAACCTTTTAATGACAGATTTTTCGGATTAAAAAATTAGATAAATTATATATATATATATAAAATATTAAATTAAATAAAGGAAAGTAAATGAAATTTTGGCTTTTCTCATCCCAACTTAAAAGTAAACTTTCTAGAAACAAAATAAAAGGTGGAAATATTTTAATAAGAGGGCAGGCGGCTAACAAGTTGACCTTGGTTAGCAGCCCTCAGTCTTTTTACCGAGGCAAAATTGTGAGGGTGTGGATGAATGGTTTACCTAACTCATAAAATAATAATAATAATAATAATAATAATAATAATAATATTGGTACATAAACATGGAAAATGATTTTTCATCCGAACCAAATCAACCCAAATGATGAGCCGACTAATTCACAGCCACGGATAGGATCAACCCTAGAGACTAGAGATTTAAAAGATTAAAATGACCTAACTCGTGATCTTTTCTCTTCAGATGAGATAGGATAAGAATTCGAACTTAGGCATATTGTGTGGATTGTTTTTTTTCAAGAAAGTTAATTACAAACACACCTATGCCCTCTATTGAAACCATTCTATTAAGGAGCAGAACTTACACCAACTGAACTATTATCTATTTGGTCGCATGTGTATTTGCTTTCTCTCTGGCTCTCTCTCCCTCTCTCTCTCTCTCACACACACACACACAAATATTATATTTTCCACATGTCCAAGTTGGTGACTCCGTTTGGACAGAGTTTGTTTGATCTCTCTTGTAATCTTATTGACCCGAAGAATATAAAGTAACATAGTCCACACATGACATAACATCCAATGACACTTACAAAATCACAACTTAATTAAATTACCATGCACGAGGATAACTCTCACATAACCGAAATTATCTTTGCCAAAACGAATTCAAAATATGTCACAGTGGACAAGACACCATTCAAGATCATTTCAAGCTATTATATATATCTTCAAAAAAAATCTACCTTCAGATCTTCTCACGCAACACAAAATTCATGTCAATTAATAAATATATTGATACATCCAAAATGTGTTTTAAAAGTCACTCTAAACACTGCAAATTTTTATATATAAATTCTGTCACCTTTGTTTTTATCAAACACACACGTCAACGCGTTAAACATAATTAAGTAATGTATTAATTCATAATTAGACCAGTTCAAAGCTTCGTAGGAGAAGCTCTGACAAATTGGCTGTAATTATAATTAATTCGAAGAAATTTCCAAAAATTTACAGCTTTTTTGGGAACATATTCAATTTATACATGATTCATCTTTGTAAATTACCTACCTTTCTTGTCGCGTACTTAATTGTTTAATATTTGTATGAATTCTTAATCACATTTAACTGTACATACAAGAATTGTTGAACCATATGCAAGGAACATCATTATATATATATATATATATATATATATATATGGAATACAACCAAGCAGAGGTTAAGAAGACTCCTCTTTGCCTAAACTCAGAATTTGCACCATTAGAAACAAAAACCCACCTCATAAAGCTGCTTTAGATTGTTGAAAAGTGAAAGAAGATAGAGAAATATGGCTTCTTCATTCTCTTCTCTATGTACTGTAATTGCACCATCAACCAGAAGCATCAGAAGTACTCATAAATATTCCCTCCAAGTGAGAGCTCAGAGCTATAGAGATGAAGGTAAATACCCTTTTAGCTATATATATATATATATATATATATATATATATATATTAGTTTGGAGTTCAGAAGAGGCCATCGGAAACAATCCCAAACAACCACAGCTTCTGCTTTTTTTACTAAAAAAAATTAAATTAATTTGTTTTATATCAATATATAAGTAGTTTGCATTGATACCCTTTAACTATTTTTTTCAGTTTGAAGTTCAGAAGAGAGAATAGGAAACAATCCCAAAGAACCATAGCTTCTATTATTATTTTTTTATATCAATATATATATATATATATATATATATATATATATATATATAGTTTGCATTTAGTATATTTATGGTTTTGATTAGTTTGTTTGGTTTGACAGGGAGATCAAGTAATATTATAGATGCAAATTTGAGCATTTTGAAGATGAGAATAGAGGAGGTTAGGATCAAAGAGAGATTGGAGAGGTGTTGTAGGAGTCAAAATGGATGGAACTATGCAGCTACATATGATTACAAGCGCAAAAGAGATGCAGAGCTGTCTCAGGTTTTTGAACTTTTAGGTATTGTTGGTGGCACTTTTGGCCTTACCATTCTCAGTGGTACTCTTTTTCTTTGCCTTATGTCCCTCTTAGTTCATTTGAACCAATGAACTAGACATGTTTATAATATTGTATTGTAAAGATCTCTCTCTCTCTCTCTCTCTCTCTCAATGTTGGAGATGGTATTTGCCAAATTCAATTCTATTTATAAGAATTCAATTTCATTCATTCATGAAATTTTTTGGCCTCTCACAAATTATTTTTAGTTTATTATGTGATCCATATATTGCAAATCTTTTACATAGTGTTGCAAATGAACCGAGTTGTTCATTAACCATTCGGACTCGGCTCATTTAAGACTCGGTTCCTCGTTCGTTAAGCAAATGAGCCAAGTTTGAGCTCGATTTCTAGATATGTTTAGTAAACAAGCCTACCCCAAACAGTGTGGAGCTCGGCTCTTGTAGGCTCATTTATGTTCGTGAGCATAGTGTCACGGGCCTAGAGATTTGGCGCAGCGGCACGGCCCGTGCGGCACCAAGGCGTTGCTTCAGCTCGCGCAAGCGCCCTGGTCAGCCACCACGACCTGCCCTCCCAAGGATACATGCTGACTGGTTTCGGCCTGCCATGGCCTCGTCAGGGGAACGGCTCCAGCTCCCGACCAGTTTGTGCAGGGATGGCCAACTCCCTTCTTCATAGTCAAGTCCACGACCAGCGACAAGCACCTCGAACTGAACCGAGTCGACCTGCCTGAACTCTGAAGAGGTACCATCCTGTGCTCCTGCACGCCCCTTCCCTGGAACCATTCCCAGTCAAACTCTGCTCTGTGCCAACCAGCATGCGTGTCTTCCATCCTCCAAGCGTCTTAGGAATCACTTCGTGACATTCTCCCCCACCCAAATCCTGCGACGTCCTCGTCGCAGTGCGGCGCTTCACTACTGCGTCCACTCCCTTCCAAAGTCTGCCTCCATGCGGTATGCTCGCCTTCCCACCATCGCTTCCTTGTGTAGCTCCCTGCACTGCACTCGCCCAATGATAGGCCTCGGACCAAGGGGACGTCCACTCCTCAAGGACGTGACTCTTCTCCGTCATGCCGCCTCCGCGACATCCCGAGCAAGCAAAGGCCTCCTGCCGACTTGATGCTCGCCCTTCACCATGGTTTGCATCACCCAAGGACTAAGCACGAACTTTGGTGCGCGCGGCCCTCCGGCCCTTCAATGCGCAACTTCAACGGACGCCTCTTCCTGGGGAGATGGAGGCTCCCCCCCCCCCCCCCCCCAACTGCATTGATTCCTCCTCATCGACGCAACTTCAATGCACCGTCTTCATTCTCTGACCCCTCCCGGACAGACAAGGGGGCACCCCACCGTGCTTTACCCCAAGTCCTGCTCTGATACCATTTGTCACGGGCCTAGAGATTTGGCGCAACGGCACGGCCCGTGCGGCACCAAGGCGTTGCTTCAGCTCGCGCAAGCGCCCTGGTCAGCCACCACGACCTGCCCTCCCAAGGATACATGCTGACTGGTTTCGGCCTGCCATGGCCTCGTCAGGGGAACGGCTCCAGCTCCCGACCAGTTTGTGCAGGGATGGCCAACTCCCTTCTTCATAGTCAAGTCTACGACCAGCGACAAGCACCTCGAACTGAACCGAGTCGACCTGCCTGAACTCTGAAGAGGTACCATCCTGTGCTCCTACACGCCCCTTCCCTGGAACCATTCCCAGTCAAACTCTGCTCTGTGCCAACCAGCATGCGTGTCTTCCATCCTCCAAGCGTCTTAGGAATCACTTCGTGACAATAGGCTCGCATATGCTTGTAATTTATATTTGTTTCTATTTTTATATTGGAACTGTTTAATCTTCTGGAAGTATAAAATAAAAATATAAGGATTTACTAAATGACCTTGGTGAGCTTGAAAACGAGGCTGGACGATTTTGAACATGAGTTCAATTTGTTTTCTTAAATGAGCAGAGTCTAAGATTTTTAAAACCCTAACGAGCCTGAACTTAGTTTTTTGAGCTTGTCACGATCCCGAGCCGACCCGAGATGAACTTTTAAACAAACGAGCCGAGCCCGAGCATCCTAAAACTCAGCTTGGCTCGGTTCGTATATATAGTTATATACAGCCCTACTTTTATTCATTTTCTGAGTTCAAATGATATGAATTTTCATTTAATAAAAAAAAAATTGTTAGGTAATAGAAAAGGGATAATCCTATAAAAACATATTTGAAAGAAAATATTAAATTACTTAATAAAGCCTGTCCACCACCCATTTTTTTTTTTTTTTTGGGCTCTTCATCACCAACTCAATTCTTTAATCCTCGTATGTTTTGTTTGGATCTCAGTGTTTTATCATTCTCATCTAAAAGAATTCTCCTTCATTCTAAGTTCTGTAGTTATTTGACCAAATCTTTCCTGTTAAATTACATTATTAGGTGATTAGATTATGTGCCCTCTCTAGGTCATGAAACTTAACAATCTAGAGCTAGCTGTCTAACAGAATTTCATTCATTATTTATTTAAAGGGGATTTCTTTAATCATATTTAAATTTTTTTTAAAAAAAAATCATTTTATGTAGCCTATGTTAGAGTTTGTTTAACAGCTTTTAGTGTCACAAGTATAGGATTTAGAATGACTACATAAACATTAGCACTGCCAGAAAAACCAAATAAATATGGAATCTGATATAGACAATTATGTTCCTTCAAAGTTTACACAGCATACAATAAGGGGTGAGATAAAATAATCAAGAGTTTCAAACCCCAAACAGTAACATCTTAATCTTTGACACAATAAATTCTATCCAAGATTGAACATTCTTTAGTAATTTGCACACCATGCTTCCTCTGTCTTCTGCCAAAGCACACTGTGGATGGAGGTCAAAGTTACACTCTTCACAAACGAATGACCAGTTACGCCCAACATTGCCACAGCCGTCGCACCTAAAATAGAGACGTCGAGTGAGCACCAGCTGATGCTCCTTATGGAGCTTGTGCTCCACCTTCTTAGGCCACAGCTTCCCCATTTCTTGAATCTCGGTTTCAATCTCCTTCAAACGGTCTTCTGTGAAGGGATAAGCACCCGCCCCATGAGCTCTTATTAGATCAGCAGCATTTGTTGTGACTGGCTGACCATTTGGTCCAATGGCTACAACTATGGGGGTTCCCGAGACACATAGTTTGCTAATTAAGTACGAACTTCTCACATCGCCAAAGGGGAGTGCCAGCCATGGCATTCTTGAAAAGAATTTATCAAATGAGGCCTGGTCATTGTCACTAGAGATGAATATCACCTCAAATGAATTATCTTTTGCCTTAATCTTGTGGTATGCTTGAATGAGCTTTGGTACGAAATTGCGATCAGGCCTCCCATTAGCTGAGAAGTAGAGGAGGATATTCTTTCCCACAAGATCAGACACTTGAACCTGAAATGAAAGATATTATAGTAATTAATTCATTAACACATATTAGATCTAATAAGCTAATAATATTTGATTTGTTAGTGGAACACTAACTCTTGAGGGAAATCTTTACCTTAGATCCATCATTCCTGATCACAAAGTCTTGATTTCCTAAAACCAAAATGGACTCTATTGTCTCTGCTTCTTGTTTTGCCTCTTCAATCTCTGTGGGCGCTTCGAGCATTTCTGGAGTCAAACTCTTCAATGCTTGAATCCCATGTTCTTCAATGTCCTCTGCAGCATTGGAATGAAGAGTTTTTCCATCTGGTCCAATGATAACCAGAGCAGGTAGTGTTTCGACCTCAAAATACAGACACAGCTTCACCCAACTCCCGTCTCTGAAAGGCAAAGCGAGCCAAGGCATGCTCCCAAAACTCTGCTTGAATAATTCTTCATCATGATCATCGAGGAATACCATCACAATTTCAAAGTTCCTTCCCATCTCCTTTAACTTGTCATAAACTTCCACGAGTTTTGGAGTGAACTCAAGGCATTGATCGTCTGAGGGGTGAAAGAAATACAAAGCCACCGGCTTCCCTTCAAGCTCAGAGACAGGTACCTTGCAAACGCATTGTTAAGGACAAAATTAGGCACCGTGAAAACATACTATAAGGAACTAACTACATTTGGATATTCCAATGTGCCACCAATCTTACCTTATTTCCATCATTTGAAAGTACAAAATCGCGGAAAGGTGTGACCAAGATAGATCTCAAAGTTTGTTTCTTCTTAGCTGCTTCTTCCTGTTCTTTTAATTCTCTGACCTTTTCTGGAGTGAAGGGGTACACTTCTTCTCCATATTTCATTATCAACTCGGCTCCCACTTCACTCAAAACCTCTCCCTTCTCATCCAGGATCACGAGGTGGGGAATTCCCTCAACCTTGAACAATTCATTCAATTTTTCACGTACCTCTAAATCAGAAAATGGGATAGCAAGCCATGGCATCTTGACAAAATACTCCTCAAAAAACTTAGCATCATCATCAGCCGAGACAAGAATGATTTCAAAATCATTTTTGGAGGAGAGTTTATTGTACACCTCTACTAGCTCAGGGGTGAAATGCTGACAAGAGGCACAAGTTGATCTTGAAAAGTATAACCCAATCTTCTTTCCCTTCAATTTGTCAATTTTAACCTGTAGAAGTTGGATAAGTATTGGTACTCCTGGATCATTATTATTATTATTATTATTAAATCTGCTGGTATCTTCCTATTGAAAATGGGACTAAAGAATAAAGTGAAATAATGTCATCCTAAGAGTTAGTATTGTAAAGAACAATCTATTACAAACAGTCGGATGGATGTCTCCGTGATGAAAATTTTGCAGTTTCGGGATAAATTGTCTTACCCCCTACCACAGTTCCTACCAACCTGGGGCAGGACACCTGACCCAAGGGCCAGCATTTGAATGTCCAAACTAAGGTTTTGGTGTATTTCACTGCCAAAACGCATTCCATATAGGAACTGACATATACATGTTTCTTGATTTCTTGTCAACAAGGAAAATTTATCACAACATGGCACTCATTCATCCTGATGGATAGAAATAGTGAAGGACAAGAAGAGAAAGATAGATAGCATTTTCCAAAATCAATGTATGATCATTGCAAGGCTCTACCTGAACCTGGAGATATGATTCCAGAAAAACTAGGATAAAGAAAAGTAACAAGAATTCAAGAAGAAGATAAAGAAAAAAATTGCAAAAATAGAGGAAATATAATTACTTGTTCTCCATCGTTACGAACAAGAAAGTCTCTTCTTGAGCAAGTGAGGAGCGATTTGAGATCATAACCATCCCCATTAGTGTTCTTTGTAGTTCCCTCATCAGCCATTTCTGATGTCGAAATCTGTAGAGTCAATATCTTAATGAGTCAGGGCTCATGCTTTGAACAAAATATTATTACAATTTATATTAACTGATATTCCATGGGGACACAATCATATTAGGTCTTTTTCTTGGCACTCGATCTTTTTAACAGAAGGTTATTCCTCGTTGCTTAGGAAAAGATAGTGTTACCTTTCTCCAACCTAAACTGAACAAGAAAAAGTAAACTCTAAGCATAAGATCGAATAACTTGCAGCTCAACAGCAAGCATTCTGAGATACTTCCTTGCCAAGAACACAATCTAAGATTCTTAATCATTCTTCTTGGGCATGTAGAGGCATTTCTATCAAGTTAATTAGGCCTACTACAGTGAAAATTTGTTGAATTGATTATAGATGAAGTATTTCAATTGTTCCTATCTTCAATGACACTTTATGGCAACCCCTCAGCCTCATTCCTTCCTTTAGTTGCAAAAGAATCAATGAAAAGAAAATGAGACATATCTTCTAGAAACATACTAAAGATGGACAATTACTACTCGAGCACCAAATAGTTGCAAAAGTTTCCCAAGAACTTTATTCCTTTTCCTCCATCTCCTAGAAGGCCACCAAAATAATAATAATAATAATAATAATAATAATAATAATAATAATAATTGAATAGGTTAATGTTATAACTCAGAAAAGGACAGCCATCTTCTGGGTAAACATAAGTTCCAAAAAAAAAAAAAAAAACTCAATGAATAGGGTAAATAGAGTTTCAAAAAAGCCCTACAAGAATAAACATAAGTACAATTTCCATGATTAGGTCTGAGCCTAACCCTGCCCATTAAAATATTTGAAAAATAGCGTTAGGAACTTAGGATCAAACCATGCCGGAAATGAAGGCAAAACAGAGTAGCTCAGCTGAAGATGACAAACCTCACTACTCGGGTGGTAATGAAGGAAGCTAGGGAGATCCGATCCCAATCATTTAGAATGCTTCTATTTGCAGTAGAAACCTTTAGCTAGCTGGGAACTTAGCAACTTGGCTATTTTACTGTTGTCTAACACCTTAAGTTTATAGAGTAGATGGTTGTTAACATGGTATCAAAGTAGGCAAGGTCATGTGTTCATTTCTAGCTACTTTGGCACCTCAAAACAAACCCCAGACTATAGATAGGACCTTAGGATCTTCTTGAAGTCAGCTATAACCCTTTTTTGGTAGAATGAATGTGCAAGCCCACAACAGTTGAAGTGAGCAGATTTTTATTTCTTTCTTTTTTTATTTTTATCTTGGCAAACTAGGGGAAAAGAGGACTCGAACACGGGCACACCCGCTCGGGGGCTCTACCAACTAGGCAACTGGGTGATGCCCAAGTGAGCAGATTTCAAGTGAGTAAATTTTTCTTAATTTCAACATTTGAGAACCTGCAGTTGCAAACCTTTTATATACTTGTAACCATTTGCATTATGCTCTCCTTAAGAATCAAAATCTGTTTAAAAAATAATTAAAAAAAAAAAAATTTGTAACCTAATAGAAAAGGAGAAAATCCTCTAAAAAGATATTGAAAGAAAATAGTACTAAATTACTTCATATAAACTGTCCATCACTCAATATTTTGGTTTTTCATCACCAAGTCAATTCTTTAATCCTCATATGTTTTGTTTCAAACCCAGTGTTTTACCAACGTCATCTACAGATTTCTCCTTCGTTCTAAGTTCTGTAGTTATTTGACAACTAACCTTGCAAACATTATAAATGAAGGTACTTAATAAGAGAAGCAACTGAATCAACATTAGCACTGCCAGTAACACATAATAAATAAGGAACCTAAAATACACAAGAAACTTCTTTCAAAATTTACACTTTTTAAAGTAAAATGGCCATACTACAAGGCAGTACACAGCATAACCATAAAAGGTGAGATCAAATTCTAACCCGAAACACACGTCTTAAGCTTTGACAGAATTAATTATATCGAAGACTGAACCTTCTTTAGTAATTTGCACCCCTTGCTTCCTCTGTCTTCTGCCAAAGCATATTCTGGATGAAGATCAAAGTCACACTTCTCACAGAAGAATGACCAGCTAAATCCATCCATCCCACGGCCTTTGCACGTAAAATAGGGATGCCGAGAGATCACCAGTTTATGCTTATGGAGCACGTGCTTCACCTTCATAGCTCTCATCAGATCATCAGCAGTTGTTGTGGGTGTATGATCAGTTGGTCCAATGGCTGCGACTGGGGGTTCTTGAGACATTGAGTTTGCGAATTAAGTGCGCAATTCTCACATCTGCCAAAGGAGAGTGCCAGCCACTGCAATGACATTCTTGAAAAGTACTCCTCAAATGAGGCCTGGTCATTGTCTCTAGAGGTCAGGCACTTGAACCTGGAATGAAACATAAAATTTTCATGATCATATTGATGAAGACAGTGGTAAATGAATCCTCACAGATAAGCAATATTGTACTCCTTGCATTGCATAAAAGAAAATGATGTTGTAAGCTACTTGAACCTGGAACTATCATTCCAATAAACTAGGAGAGAGAAAACTAAAAAGAAGTTAGAAAGAAAATGATAAATAATAATAATAATAATAATAATAATAATAATAATAATAACAATAAAATTATATATATAATAAATTGAAGGAAAAGTAATTACCTGTTCTCCAATGTTAAGGAAGTCACTCTCTCAATGAGTAAGGAGTGAATTGAGATGCTTCATTAGAATCCAGTGTTTTATCAATGTCATCTAAAAATATTTCTCCTTTGATCTAAGTTTGGTAGTTATTTGAGCAAATATTTCCTGTTAAATTACTTTATTAGGTGATTAAATTATTTAACCTACCCGTGTCTAATCTATACCAATCTAATGAGACAGGATCCCCTCCTGTCCTGTGCATTATCCACCGTGCATAAAAACCGGATAGCTGACATTTGCTTGCTTCTGTGGCAGCATGTGATTGACCGGAACCATGTAATAATTTCTCGTAGTTTTAATGCACATGATGAGCACTGAATCCCTATCAAAAGGATAGGGATCCAGGTCCCTTGTCTGACAGAACTTCATTAATTATTTATATATCTAATAATATGTAAATGTAAAAATATCATTTTATGTAGATTTAGTGACACGGGAGAGGCTCTAAAATGACAAATAAACTTGCAAGCATTACAAATGAAGGTACTTAATAAGAGAAGTAACTGAATCAACATTAAGAAACCTGAAATAGACAAGAATGTTCCATCAAAGTTTACACCACTTTTTCCAAGCAAACTGGTCATATTACAAGGCAGTACACAGCATAACCATAAAAGGTGAGATCAAACACAAATCCGAAACATTAACATCTTAAGCTTGGAGACAATAAATTCTATCCAAGATTGAACCTTCTTTAGTAATTTGCTCAGCATACTTCCACTGTCTTCTGCCAAAGCACGTTCTGGATGGAGATCGAAGTCACACTCTTCACAAAAGAATGACCAGTGAAGTCCAACCATCCTGCACATACCGCACCTAAAATAGGGACGCCGAGAGAGCACCAGTTGATGCTCCTTGTGGAGCCTGTGCTTAACCTTCTCAGGCCACCGCTTCACCCTCTCCTCAATCTCAGTTTCAATCTCCTTCAAACGATCATCTGTAAAAGGATAAGCATCAGCCCCATGAACTCTTATAAGATCAGCAGCTTTTGTTGTGACTGGATGACCAGTTGGTCCAATGGCTACAACTATAGGGGCCCAAGACATTGAGTTTGCGAATTAAGCACGCACTTCTGACATCGCCAAAGGGAAGTGCCAGCCATGGCATTCTTGAAAAGAATTCATCAAATGAGGCCTGGTCATTGTCACTAGAGATGAATATCACCTCAAATAAATTATTCTTTGCCTTAATCTTGCCATATGCTTCAATGACCTTTGGTAGAAAATTGCGATATGGCCTCCCATTAGCTGAGATGTATAGGAGTATATTCTTTCCCGCAAGATCAGACACATGAACCTGGAATGAAAGATAAATTTTTCATGATCATATAGAGGAGACACAGAAAGCTAAATGCATCCTCACAAAACATCATTACCTCTGCTTGCATAGCAAATAAGAACATGACTTTTTAAGCTATGATTCAAATCATATGGTCACTATAGTAATTAATGATCAGCACATTGTTTTAATGAATTATAATATAAATAAATTACTCTGATCCAAGTAAGGTTAGATGAAAAGGCTGATAATATTTGATCTTTAAGTGGAGCACTAACTCTGAGGGAAATCTTTACCTTAGATCCATCTTTCCTAATCACAAAATCTTGATCTCCTAAAACCAAAATAGACACTATTGTCTCTGCTTCCGGAATCAAATTCTTCAATGCTTGAATCCCACGTTCTTCAATGGCCTTTGCAGCGTTGGAAAGAAGAGTTTTTCTGTCTGGTCCAATGATAACTAAAACAAGTAACTTTTCAAGTTCATCGGCCTCAAAATACAGACACAACTTCCGCCAACTCTTGTCTTTGAAAGGCAAAGCGAGCCAAGGCATGTTTCCAAAACAGTGCTAGAATAGGTCTTCATTATCATCATTGAGGAATACCATCACAATTTCAAATTTCTCTCCCATCACCTTCATTTTTTCATAAACTTCCACGAGTTTTGGAGTGAACTCAAGGCATTGATCATCTGAGGGATGAAAGAAATACAAACCGACCAGCTTCCCTAGAGGCTCAGAGAGAGGTACCTTGCAAATGCATTGTTGAGGACAAAATTAGGCCCCATGAAAACATAATATAGGGAACTAACTACATTTGGATATTTCAATGTGCCACTAATCTTACCTTAATTCCATCATTTGAGACTACAAAATCACGCAAAGGTGTGACCAAGATAGATCTCAAGGTTTGCTTCTTCTTAGCTGCTACTTCCTGCTCATTTAATTCTCTGATCCTTTCTGGAGTGAAAGGGTACACTTCTTCTCCATATTTCACTATCAACTTTGCTCCCACTTCATTCAGAAGCTTCCCCTTCTCATCCAGGATCACAAGGTAGGGAGCCTCCTCAACCCTGAACAATTCATACAAGTAATCACGTGCCTTTGAATCATAAAATGGGATAGCAAGCCATGGCATCTTGGCGAAATACTCCTCGAAGGACGAAGCATACTCATCGTTCGAGAGCAGAATAACCTCGAAATTACCTTTGGTGGAGAGTTTA